TGTTCATAAAACAGTTGTATCAAGAATTATCAACTATCAAGAATAACTAATGTCCAAATATGTTTGTTACAACAAAATACGCTAATTTACATATTATTAATTAGCGGCCTTACGGATTTCCTCATTTGTTTTGGACTGTTGAAAGTAGTTAAGGAATGGATTCTTGTGCTCCCATCCGATTCTTTAAATTATAAACCTTAGCCAGTACTGAATAAAAAACAAAATCAGTGACTGTTATGTAGCATTTGTGGTTAATCTGTCAATTTTAGTAAAACCCTAAACATTTCTAACCGTTTTATCAATGCATGTTGATATAAATAAAATTATTCTGTTTGTCACCATTAGTGATAATTTGGTGAATATTTCTCCTGCACACAACTTGTCAGAAACTAGTGTTTTTTCCCTCAGAAGTTTGGGAACTTTTCTAAATTTTGTAATTCCTTTTCTTTTTTGAATGGGTACACAGCTGGTATGCTGCATTAAGAACTCCGCCTGTAGCTCCTCTGGGGGTTACTGCCGGTCCCAAGCCCGGGTAAAGGAGGAGGGTTGGGCATGGGGTTAGCGACCCCATCCCGTAGAAAATCAACTCGCTAAAAAAACGCTAAACAGAAAAAAATATTCAAACCATTTAAACTCTGCCCTGGGAGTAGAAGGAATAATTATGACGTCTCATGATGAAAGCCGAGTTCCTTCGGAAGTCATGAGGCCGATGAACCTTCTTACAACCAGAGCGACAATTTTTATAGGTACATGGAATGTTCGAACAATGTGGGAGACCGGAAGAGTTTTCCAAATTGCTGCAGAAATGAGAAAATACAACCTGGAGGTTCTTGGAATCAGCGAAACACATTGGACGCAGGTTGGACAACAACGACTGTCTTCAGGAGAACTTCTGTTATACTCTGGTCATGAAGAAGAAAATGCCCCACATACACAAGGAGTTGCATTGATGCTGTCCAGAAAAGCATAAAATGCACTTATTGGATGGGAATCTCATGGACCAAGGATCATCAAAGCCTCCTTCAGAACAAAGAGAGAGGGCATTACAATGAACGTCATCCAATGCTATGCGCCGACCAACGACTACGATGAAGACGCTAAAGACCAATTCTACGACAGATTGCAGTCGATCGTCGAGAAGTGCCCAACCAAGGACCTGACAATTCTGATGGGAGATCTCAATGCTAAGGTTGGAATGGACAACACTGGATATGAAGACGTCATGGGACAATATGGACTGGGAGGAAGGAACGAAAACGGTGAGAGATTTGCAAACCTATGTGCCTTCAATAAACTGGTCATAGGTGGCACCATATTCTCACACAAAAACATACACAAGGCGACTTGGATTTCACCGGATCACACTACACAGAATCAAATCGACCATATCTGCATCAACAAAAAGTTCAGGAGGACGATGGAGGATGTGAGAACCAGAAGAGGAGCTGATATAGCATCCGATCACCATTTGCTGGTCGCCAAGATGAAACTAAAACTCAAGAAGCACTGGACAACTGTGCCGACAACATCACAAAAGTTGAATACGGCCTTTCTTCGAGATGCTGACAAACTCAACAAATTCAACATAGCCCTCAGCAACAGGTTCGAGGCCTTTCATGACCTACTCAATGGAGAGGGGACTACCATGGAGAGCAACTGGAAAGGTATCAAGGAGACAATCGTTTCAACATGTCAAGAGGTTCTGGGCCAAAAGAAACACCATCACAAGGAATGGATCACTGTTGGTACACTGGATAAGATTGAAGCACGGAGGAAGAAGAAGGCAGCAATCAACACCAGCCGAACCAGAGCGGAAAAAGCCAAGGCACAAGCCGAATACACAGAGGCAAACGAGCAAGTGAAGAGGAGCATCAGAACCGACAAACGTAAATTTGTGGAAGACTTGGCGATGACAGCGAAAAAGGCTGCAAGAGAAGGAAACATGAGACAATTGTATGATACAACCAAGAAACTTGCTGGAAATTACCGTAAGCCAGAAAGACCAGTGAAAAGCAAGGAAGGCAAAGTAATCACCGACATTGAAGAACAACGAAACAGGTGGGTAGAACACTTCGAAGAACTCTTGAATCGACCAGCTCCACTGAACCCACCCAACATCGAAGCAGCACCCATGGACCTCCCAATCGATATTGGCCCACCAACAATTGAAGAAATCAGCATGGCCATTAGACAAGTCAAGAGTGGCAAAGCAGCGGGACCAGACAACATCCCGGTAGAGGCACTGAAAGCAAATGTAGCAGCAACTGCCAAGATACTCCACATCCTCTTCAGTAAGATTTGGGACGAAGAACAAGTACCAACAGACTGGAAAAAAGGACTTCTGATCAAGATACCAAAGAAAGGCGATCTGAGCAAGTGCGACAACTACAGGGGCATCACTCTCCTCTCAATACCAGGAAAAGTCTTCAACCGAGTATTGTTAAACAGGATGAAGGATTCCGTGGACGCCCAACTTGGAGATCAACAAGCTGGATTTCGTGAGGATAGATCGTGTACAGTCCAAATCGCAACTCTACGTATCATTGTGGAACAATCAATCGAATGGAGTTCATCACTCTACATCAACTTCATCGACTACGAGAAGGCATTTGATAGCGTAGACAGGACGACACTATGGAAGCTTCTTCGACACTACGGAGTGCCTGAGAAAATAGTCGATATCATACGAAACTCCTATGATGGACCAAACTGCCAAATCGTCCACGGAGGACAACTCACCGACTCGTTTCAAGTAAAGACCGGTGTAAGGCAAGGTTGCTTACTCTCACCCTTTCTCTTTCTCCTGGTCATCGACTGGATCATGAAGACGTCAACATCTGGAGAAAATCACGGGATACAGTGGACAGGCAGGATGCAGCTTGACGATTTAGACTTCGCGGATGATCTGGCTCTTCTATCACAAACGCAACAACAAATGCAGGAGAAAACGACCAGTGTAACAGCAGCCTCAGCAGCAGTAGGTCTCAATATAAACAAAGGGAAAAGCTAGACTCTCCGATACAATACAATATACACCAATCAAATTACAATTGACGGAGAAGCTTTGGAGGATGTGGAAACCTTTACATATCTGGGCAGCATCATTGATGAACACGGTGGATCAGATGCAGATGTGAGGGCGCGGATCGGCAAAGCAAGAGCAACATACCTACAGCTGAAAAACATCTGGAGCTCAAAACAATTGTCAACCAACACCAAGGTTAGAATTTTCAATACAAATGTGAAGACAGTTCTATTGTATGGGGCGGAGACGTGGAGAAATACGAAAGCCATTATCCAGAAGATACAAGTGTTTATTAACAGCTGTCTACGCAAGATACTTCGGATCCGATGGCCAGACACTATCAGCAACAAGTTACTGTGGGAGACAACAAACCAGATTCCAGCGGAGGAAGAAATCAGGAGGAAGCGCTGGAAGTGGATTGGGCACACCTTGAGGAAATCACCCGATTGCGTCACAAGACAAGCCCTCACATGGAATCCTGAAGGTCAAAGAAGAAGAGGAAGACCAAAGAACACATTACGCCGAGAAATAGAGACAGACATGAGAAGAATGAACAAGAACTGGATAGAACTAGAAAAGAAGGCCCAGGACAGAGTGGGTTGGAGAAAGCTGGTCGGCGGCCTATGCTCCTTTGGGAGTAACAGGCGTAAGTAAGTAAGTAATGCTGCATTAAGGCTTCAGATACATTCCTATTCTCACTGGACTCAAACGCTGAAGTTATGGAAACTGTTGTCATTGTAATGAAAGCGATACGTGTAAACGTTCTTGAAAACGATTTGTTATCTACTAATTGAAATAGTTTTCGGTGTCGATTACTAAGGTTTGAGTTATCTGATTTACACTGTTGCTGTAAGTAAATTAGTTTGGCTAACAATGTTTTTAATACTAGCCTCAATAATCATCCAGAATTTGTGAACAGTAAACCAAAAAAACTAGTCTAGTTCTAGACCTGGATGTGTAAATCAAACATTCTCACTTAGGGGGTTGGGACATTTAGCGACACCCGGATATAGTTTGTTTTCTAAACCTAAATGCAGTATTCGACCCTTTTGATCGATAAGTTCTGTGGTAGTATTTATCATCGAGATGCTTAACAAAAAAAGCACATATACCTTGTCACGGCTCTACTTGACCGCTATTAGTCTAATCAGAGATTATAGCGAATTTTCATCAGAATTGTGAACTTCTGACGGTGTTCATCAGTGTCACACGCTGTTCCCGTTGTATTTGGTTTTGTCATAGGTGTCATTAGAAGCACAAGCTCTCCATCTAATTTTTCAGGAAGTCATCTACGAGGAGGTTTGCTCATCTATTTAGAATACACAGTTAACATGGTTCTACTTGTTATTTAGTTTGTTATATAGTTTGTCATATAACGATAATAATAATAATTTTATTCATTACTATAAATTAGGTTACAGTAAGGGATCCTCAACATCAACTGTGTAATATTGCAATAAATACTTCCTTAACACATTAAAATTGTAGTTATTCAGGAAATACATTTTATATGTGGTTCCCAGTAGTTAATATCTCTCATTCATCAACTGCAACTGGTCAGTCTCTAATTGGCATATGTGCATACTGTGCGTATTGCATCGATATAGCCTTGATTCACAAGCATGATAAGCAAAGATGGATAGTGGCTAGCAGTGGAATCCAGGACACGCATTTCGTCCTATTTGGGACTCGTCAGCCGGATGTACCTGCATCTCAGAGTTGATGTTCACTCTGGGACTCGAACCCAGTACCCTCGCTTCAAACGCCATCGCGTTATCCACTCGGCCACTGAGTCCTGATAGCCACTTGCTTGTGCGATGGGGTGAAGTTTAAATTCACTTAGTATTGTTTGTTTGAATCTTCCCATCGATGTGTTAGGACTGCAACTGGTCAGTCTCTAATTGGCATATGTGCATACTGTGCGTATTGCCTCAATATAGCCTTGATTCACAAGCATGATAAACAAAGATGGATAGTGGCTAGCAGTGGAATCCAGGACAGCGCTAGTTGATATGTGTCAAATTAATCTTTACTGACAGAGATGCACTCATCTTTCATTTCACCATAAACCTTTAATATCATTTCATAATAGTCATTCTCGGATCTTATTTGTTTCCTCTTCTTTTTAGTTTTTCGTTACCATTAGTGTTATTCCTGCTTTTTTGTTTCATCTTATATATTCCACTTATATATACTCTTTTATGTTAAAGCAACTTGAGGGTTAATGCATATTTATCTTACGCTATTTGTACTTGTCAGAAATTCAATAGACCTCTGTGTACTGGATTTTAGTGCATAGCCGTTAGAGATTAGTTATCTTTTCTGAGTAAGTACAACAGAACGAACATTATTAATTTTTTAAATTCGGGTTACTATTTATATTTACTTTTAAAATACTTTCTTCTAGTTGATTTTTTAACAATACTTCTCTGTCCTTCAGCCATATTTTTATTGCGGAACAATATACAACCCTAATGTTATCATCTATTTGTGTATTTCCAGTCTATATTAACTTGAAAAAAGAATTATGAAGTAGTATACTCAAATAGATCAATGTATTATGAGTGTTTATGTACATTTAAAAGAATAATGACCACTAGAAGAGTTTCGTATCGACTACATATATAGAGTTGACTGGTTACCACTGAAACCTTATTGGAAGTGCACAGATTAAAAATTATAAAAAAGTATATTGAACTTTCAATTTTATTTAGTAGGTGGTAACTTGATGGTTGAGCCTCTTGACTTCTAACCATTAGCCGTAACTTCAAGAGACGTTCCACTTATTTGAGTTGGAATACATTGATTAGTATCAGTAACACACACAAGTTTTGTGACCCGAAGTCATATGTATGAATTTGTCCTTTGTTACTAAGGTGTCTTTTTATGCTGTTATCGTTTTAAGTGGTATAGAGTAGAATTGAAAATGATGTTCGATAGTGCATCGATATGTTATGTATTACTCATTGTTTTAGAAGAAATACCTCACATTTTGAAACATATTACACTGTGAATAATGAATTCCAATCAGAAATCTTCAGAAAATAAAAGTTTTACATCAAATGTCAGTGATAATCATCAAACTGTATTAGATCGTTTAACTGAACGTCATATACAGAGTCAAGTTTTTAATAGTCAACGAAAAGAAGTATTGAACAGTGAAAATGTTGACTCATGTGGCAATCGAAATATTCATGAAAATTTTTTACAACAATTCACTCAATACAAATTAGCTATTGTTACAGATTTAGAAGATGTGACCAAAAAAGTACACGAATGTGATTTACCAATAAATGAACGTACTCAGGTTAGTATTCATTTATATTATGTGCTATATGTAGCTAGAAGTGTTATTTTATTAATTGGGTGGTGATACAAACAAAATCTTTTTTAATCTTATCTGTTAAATACAGTATTTTCTTTCCCATGTTATTGTAGAATACAACAGTCTGTTGTAATATATTCGTTGAGATTTGTCACAAAAATACCAGAAATATTTTAGATTGTCATCTTGGACAGTTGTTAGCGCGTAATAAAAATTATAAAATACTCCGAGTAATTAATGTCCTTATTGGTGTTCACACTCAAATGACCAAGTAGGATATAAAGATTACCTTGTAAATACCCTAGTCTTCTCTCTGCATATAGGGATGTAGTTGTGTCGGCAAACTGCCGTTTGTTACTTACTTACTTACTTACTTTCGCCTGTTACTCCCAAAGGAGCATAGGCCGCCGACCAGCTTTCTCCAACCCACTCTGTCCTGGGCCTTCTTTTCTAGTTCTATCCAGTTCTTGTTCATTCTTCTCATGTCTGTCTCTATTTCTCGGCGTAATGTGTTCTTTGGTCTTCCTCTTCTTCTTTGACCTTCAGGATTCCATGTGAGGGCTTGTCTTGTGACGCAATCGGGTGATTTCCTCAAGGTGTGCCCAATCCACTTCCAGCGCTTCCTCCTGATTTCTTCCTCCGCTGGAATCTGGTTTGTTGTCTCCCACAGTAACTTGTTGCTGATAGTGTCTGGCCATCGGATCCGAAGTATCTTGCGTAGACAGCTGTTAATAAACACTTGTATCTTCTGGATAATGGCTTTCGTATTTCTCCACGTCTCTGCCCCATACAGAAGAACTGTCTTCACATTTGTATTGAAAATTCTAACCTTGGTGTTGGTTGACAATTGTTTTGAGCTCCAGATGTTTTTCAGTTGTAAGTATGCTGCTCTTGCTTTGCCGATCCTCGCCCTCACATCTGCATCTGATCCACTGCCGTTTGTTAGTTATTCGATTTTTTCAATCGTATTAGATTCACTCTCGTAACAATAGTATCGTGGTTTATGCTACTTATGTTGACCGATATAAGTAGTATGTAGCGCCAATTGGAAGTGGAATGTATGTCTACAGAAGATTCAACTGAAGGAGACAGAAAGTAATTGTAATAACAACAGAGTTAAAGGAATCATGAAGCGTGTAAAGGACAATGGAAGGAAGATGTTCAAATTATGTATTTGATGTATGGTTTTCATATTTATCGAAAGCTCTATAATTTTCTATTAAATAATAAATTGGTTCTCTCCATCTGAGTGTTCGTTCACTACGGTGTCTTATCGTATATGTTGCATTGGATGTCATAAGTCATTGATAAATATACGGGGGCTCGATGAATGAATACTTGAACACCACCTGTTAAGTCAGAGCTTATAAAAAAACTGTCATCCGAATCGATGAAATTAAATGTTATTCGTCAGGGTTATCCCCTTTCTCCATTTTTATTTGGTTTTGTCAGGGACCTTCTTTTGAAGATAATCCCCTCTCCGTGTGAATTTCCAGGAATGAATCTCTTACCAAGATATTCTCATGTGTTGATTTAGAATATGTAGATGACAGTTCTATTCAATGAAGATGCTGGTCTCCTCGAGCAATCCAATCGAGTTGGTGTTTAACGAAATCTCGTTTGACTTCTGCTGAATTATATCTTATAATTGTCGGCGATATATTCTTTTAATAGTCAAAGGGCGAGTATACTGTGAAACAGTCCTCTCGTTTTTAATTTGTGATTGTCCTATGTGGCATTTACAAATAGCAAACATTCGTAGGTCGCTAGTATTCGACTATATACGTCTTGGAATCATTGCTCGTGTATGTTAGGACCACTGACCAAGCAGTGCAAAGGTTAGATGCAGAATACTAGGTAAGCATGGCAATTCGATTGACGAGGTAGTGAATCCTCATCAACTGAAGTTGTCGCAACATTTGTTATGCATGGCTATCCACAACCTGCCTTGACGCGTGATGATAGCTGGTGTAGAAGTAGGTTGGGATACAGGTAAGGGAAGCCAAACCAGTATCGTAACATAAGTCGTTGAAGCCTTTTTCTGCTGAACCGAGCCATGTTTATAGGTTCAGACTACCTGATTGGAGTCCATGCGATTATCAGGACTAGTCGGTAGAGACTTCGGGTGACATGGCCCAGAATCGTTTCCATTTGCACATACGCACTCACTGTTTGCCCCCCCCCTTAATCATCTTAGTTTTTTTCATCCCACGAACATATACGTTCTGCTGAATCATTTCTTTTCTTCCAAATCTTTTCTAATACCATTAATACTGCTTTTACATATACTAATCTTGCATTTCACTGTGATGCATTGAGGTAAGTTGAATGATATAAATATGTGATAAGTTCTTCGTTGCGTACGACTAACGATTTACATTATTCACTGTGACTATATGTCCAATATCTAATCGGTTACACTTCACTCTCCTACCTTGTAGTTTGTGGATGACATGTTAGCTCGGTTAGAACATATGCAGAATTGGTTGAATGAAACGTCAATGTATCTTACTTCATTCGATAATGAACAAGCACGTTTAGAGTTAAAGGTTAGTTTTTGACTATATGTTTATATTGTTACACCTAAAAGCTGTGGCATTAAATTAGTGGTAAAAGCACTTATATTTCAACCACCAGATCACATACTATAATAATGCTCCATCATTTTTAGCTTTAGACAACCATTGTTTATTTATTTAAGCACATAAACATTGGTACAAGGGGGCACCAAACAGATATGCTCCACATAAATCATTTGATTTGTGTGAGGGCTGGGATACTGCCCGGAAGCACAAACTAAAGCAATGGTTTTCTTAGGGGGCCACACCCTGAACCTTTAACCTAGAGGTCTAATCCATTAGGCATTGGAGCAACGTAAGGAGATGCAGTCTCATGGTAGCTGGTGAGCAACAATAGGTTCATACGCCATTCACCCTTCAGGACACTGGAGCACATGTGCGCATTGGTTTGGAATCAGGATTTCCCAGCTCTCCTAGGTAGACCCTCCGTGTCCACCAACCCGGTCCAAGTACCGAACATTCGCTTTTCGTCCTCTCAATTTCGTAAACAACACCCCTGCTTCGAGAAGGCAGCGAGTATGACAGTGGCTGTATACACGTGGCCATTTGTGAGCATTTCAAGAAGGAGAGCTCACTCTTGCCACCCTCGGCCGTACCAGGGCATTTAGGGACTAGATCTAACACAGTAATAAGTTTACAGTAGTAATAGAAATGCTTTATTAGCATGTCTTGAAGATGCAGTTGCGTTGTCCGAATAGATCATTCAGACAATTGATCTGACAGTCAATTCGCCCAACTGATCCCCAGATTTAAATCAATTTGATTTTCTAAAACAAAGTCACTAGTCAACTGATTGAGTGTATGAATAAATATTAGGAAATTATAGCTACTACTTATATGCAAAATGTTCGACCCAAGCTCCATCTCATTTGGTTATTTTCTAGCCAATCAATAAATGACCTTGAAAACGAATATTTCTCATCGTCTTAGTACTCTTTTCCCTTTAGTTCTAAAACTTCTCTAATGTGGGACTTCGGTTTCTCAAATATCTATAATTAAGGTGAATCTAGTAAGTACAATGAGCACATTACAGAAGGACCTTGTTTATACAACCATTGAAAACCAGGAAGCACTAAACAGCTGCATATTTGATATGTAAATCTTAGGAGGTGGGCACCCACAATCCCTCTAGGGATCGTAATATGGGTCCTTCAGGGTCTCCGTAAGCACTTAGCATTCTAACTGTTAAGTTAGAATCGAGTGGTTTGAATTCCTAACCTTGGTGATCTTGTGCGATCATCATCTGTCGCAATAGTTTCCATCTCGTTCTTCCTAATTTTCAGCAGCTGTTTAAAAAAGTCTGTCTATGATGTGAAAATTTAGACTCAAAATCTCTCCACAGCACCCTGTAGTAATAATTGCTTTAGTTTAGCAGCTTCGAACATGTTCAGCTGTATTAATCTCTTGTTTTTTCCACTTATTTAGAGCTTAAATGATCTATTTCAAGAGAAAAAAACAGAATTATTACCAAATAGGAAATTTGGTTTTTCATGTCAACAGACAACTAAGAAACAGGGCAATGTAAATAAAAGTGAATGTTATCCAGAACCTTCAACTTATAACACATCATCTATTGTTGCCCCGATCAATAATGACTCAGTAATTTATGATGAACGTTTCAGTTTAATCAATATTACTGGCCCTAAACATTTTATTATACCAAATATCAATTGTTCATCTGACTCATTTATTTCACAAACTGTTTACTTGATTGATTTAATAGATTGTACAATCGAAATACGTCATGTATTTGGTAGTTTAATTGGTCGTCGTTTAAAAAATTGTAAAATTTACGCCTATCCTATTTCAGGTTCAGTATGGCTTGATGAATGTGTTAATTGTGACTTAGTATTTGCTTGTCGTCAATTAAGAATACATCAAACATCTAATTGTCGACTTGGATTACATATGGCTAGTCGACCAATTATTGAACAATGTACAAATTTAAAAGTAGCTCCATATCAACTTGTTTATAAATCACTTGATCAAGATTTATCTACAGCTGGTCTATCAACTAATAGTAATTTATGGCATGAAGTTGATGATTTTAGTTGTCCTAATAGACGACTTACAAAAACTTCTCCAAATTGGTGTATAATGCCTGAAGTCGATTGGTCTTCATTATGCCCAAATAAAAATTAAAAATCTATATAATATAGTGTAATACTTTTGGAAATAGAAAAAATGGATTTTTAAAAAAAAATGTCTACAGTATATAAACATGTTATGTAATTATTATCATTTTTTATTTATTTTGTTTTTGCCTTTTTACTTGTTCTCAACTATTTGTGTACACTCTTAAATGTCCCATCAATATTACTACTTCTTATTACATTTCCATTACTAAGAGATAAGTTTCTCTCAAGTATTTTTTCATTTGTTCAAATCAAATGAGATGTATGCTTTTCTAATGTATTAAGGATGACGAGTTTCTTTCAGTTTTTTTGACCAACATATTAGGTTTCCTAAAAGTTTTTCATAAATTATCCGATATCTCGATTAATACTATTCAAAGTACACAATCCGTTTACATGAGGTTCCATCTCTCTTTTAAGTTATATTGTATGCAAATTAAAGAAATATATTAGTTTTATAATACCAAAAGAAAACTGTTTAGTGTAGGTGTTTTCTTTGATTTTAAAAAAGAAACTACAAAAATTCACCAAGTTGACAAGATTTCTAAACAGACTCATTACTAAAAGTTAATTTTCTCCATATGTCTGTAGTGTATTCTCGTTCAATGCCCATTCTTAAGAAACTGTAATCAATTACATTTTGATTGAAATAATATTTGTGATATATTTATGAAATAAATTAACAGCAAATGAAATCTGGAATTTTGAACTATAGATTCTTCTCTATCACATAAAGTCGGGTCACTCCTTGAATAGTAATCCTTATTTAAGAACCACTATAATGTATTGAATACGCACAATCAACAGTTCCATTTATGAAAATAGCTCTGAAAAACTAAAGCATATAGGTCAGCATTTATTAATCACTACTAAACGACTGGTTAGTCTGAAGACATGAACAGGTTTTGGTGACCCGAGAGCTTACTCCAGTTAGATCGTTTCTGAATGTTATTGAGTCAAATGGCTTTGGTGAATAACGGGATTAAATAAGTCAAAAACGAGAATGGGTTTTGAATACGTATATTTCGTACAACCACTGATCGGAATGCAAAACAAAACGAAATGGCGCGCAGTGGAGAAAGCATGTGAGCCAACTCAATTAAAATAAGCGTTACGCAATATTACAGTCAGACAAAAATAAGTTACAGACGTCATGAATAAGATCATATAAAAGACAGTCCGGATTATTAAGATAATAAGTGACGGTAAAACGTTGTTTGAGAAAGGAATTAATCTGTCCAGAGAATAGACTAACCTGTGTGGGCTTGACACAGTACCAGACCTCACAAAGTAAGTAACATGTTTTTTCTCAGTAATCCCATGCATAAATACGAGTGCATATCTAGAGTTACTGCCAGTGCCCAAGGCCGAGTAAAAAAGGATGGTTAGGTATAGGTCAGCAACTCCATCCCGTACAAAACAACCTTGTTAAAAGACATTAACAACGTTAAACAAATTCCAACTCTGACGTTGGTGTTGAACGGAGAATTATGACGCCTCATTACGAAAGCCGAGGTTCTTCGAAGGTCACGAGGTCGATACCTGTTATATCCTGGTGAAGACATAAGAACGGGTATCTCTAAGGACCTATTAATGGACTAAAATTCTATATATGTATTCTTACTGTTTAACTTTTGAGTAATAAGATTGTGTATATCTATGTTCATCTTATTATAAGCTTCATTTTGACCCGTGGATTGTTTTTATACGATTTACTGTCCCTAAATTATATTCAGTTTATTGATTACTGTCTCCCACGTTCACAACCACATTTGGCTTGATCTTGTACATATGTTAATTTCTATTTTATGGTGTGATGCGTTCTGTCTGGTATATAAACCAAGTATGCTTGAAATCAATGATTCGCATAGCAGAAGCTATAATTGGTGTTCTGGACTCAGCTGGAAGGGCTAGACGGACAAGGGACCAATAAGGGCGCTAGACTACTCATACTAGTCGAACGTCATTGGTTTGTCACAGTGTTAAGATCGGAAAAGTATTTCGATTGGTGGATAATTCACGTGATAAAAAAGTCGGACATAAAATCATAACGAATTGGATACGTCCAGTTTTTATAAAATCATAATATCTATTCTAACGATCACAGCAACAATTTTTATAGGTACATGGAAAGTCGGAGACTGGGAAAACAAGTCACAAAGAACCAGATAGATATTTTCATCATTAAAAATTCAAAGGCACAATGGAAGACGTAAAAACCAGGAGAGGTGGTCACAGCCTCAGATCATCACTAGCTGGTGGTTGCCAAGATGAAAGCACTGAACAACTGGGACAACAGCATTACAAAGGTTTGATACGGCCTTCCTTCAAGATAATGTTAATAAACTTAACCAATTCAAGATAACTATCAACATCAGGCTCCAAGCCTAACAAGATCTACTCAAAGAAGAAGAAACTACTATGGAGGATAACAGGAAAGACATCAACGAAGCACTAACTTCAATGTGTCAGAAGGTTCTCGGCCACAACAAGCATCATCATGGAAAATAGACCTATATGGAAACTGTGGGCAAGATTGCAGAAAGGAAGAACAAGACAGCAATTAACAACAGTCAAACAAGAACAGAGAAAGTCAATGCACAAACTGAATACACAGAAGCAAACAAGCATTAGAGCTGACATGTAGATATATGTGGAAGACCTACCAATGACAGAGGAAAAGGCTGCAAGAGAAATAAATATGCGATAACTATATGACACAACGAAGAAACTGGTAGGGAAATATGGTAAACCAGAGACACTGGTCAAGAACAAAGAAGGCGAACCAGTCACTTAGGTTTAAGAACAAAGGAACAGGTGGGTAGAACACTGGAAATAAGGATACCTCATCAAAATACCAAAGAATGGAGATCTGAGCAAATGAGAAAACTACAGAGGCAGACTCAAAGTTCCGTTACCTAGAACCTGTCGTGCATTAAGACTCACGATGTATCTCAAGAATTGTTCTTATAAATGAATTGGAAGATTCTCAACAGCATAAAGTCTAGTATCTCAGCAGAAATTTAGGTAATCAATTACATTTAATAATAACATCTAAGCGTCTTTGCATTTGGTTGACTTCTAGATCAGTTAAAGATCTCCAGGATATTTTGGGTCCAGATTAATTTTCACGTACTTCTTTATGAAAACAACATGTTTTTTGTGTAACTGTATCTTAATATAGTAGCTACTTAGCGTCCAAAGTACGCTCACCTCTCCATTTAATTCAGTTGGGACAACGTAGTAGTGTCATTAACCTTCACACTGAGAGGTTTATACCCGAGTACCTGGTGAATTATTATTATTATGGACCAGAAACTTAGGGATCTCATCAATGTATTTCATTCAGCTACAACGTAGGACCAGACACATATATGCATCGGTCCAAGTTGCCATACCTCATTAGCACAACAAGATGAACACCGAGTTCATAGAAGTAGTTAATTTAGTGGTGGTGATATATAAAAGAAAGACTGTATATAAAGATAAAGTACAGGAAGAGAGATAGATACAGAAACATTATCAATTATACGCTCATATGATTGGTACTGGGATTAAAATAAGGAGAAAGCTTGCATAAAAACAACTCTTTTAAAAAAATATACATATATATACAAACTTATGAGAACTATACAAAATCAACAATCATGAACTAACAATCTTTAGTAATAGAAAAAAATCAACCAGCAAACTTTTCTTTTCTCATGGTGAGCAACAGGTTTCAGGTGGAGAATTAAAAGCCATGAATGGAATTCATAGCAGTTATGTGAGTATTAAGAAACAATTATTTATATACGTAACTACCTTTTTAGTTGTAAAATATACATACGCACACAAATTTAAATATTGAAAACATTTTATTTCCTAAACTGGCTACAAAAAGGAAACGAAAAAAGGGAAAAGACAACTGATCGAAAAATCATTCAATAAAAAATAATAATCATGTTTAATGATGAGGCAGTAGTTGATAGACATGACATGAGATCTGATATATATCATTGTGCGAGCTTAAAAAGATTTCTAGAAGCTGTTGACTCCTCATCTTTAATAGTTGTATTTTCAAAACGGATAATTCTGAACTGTATGAAAATTTGGCAATGTGTGTGTGTAGGAGAGATCAGTATGACTACTCGTTGGTAGTGAATTATCATCTTGATGCTGAATGTACTGAGGAGTAGGGACCATTGTAATTTGACTTGGCACTGAGTCTGTAGATGCACTATCGGATGGTAATGTGGCAAGTTCAAAACTTTTCTCTTGTATAGGCCAAACACCATGTTCAACAAGATTGATCAACCGACAGCTTGTTGGGTCTTCAGCTGCTAATTTGACAAATACTAAATGTTCAAGGCACTTGGATGCGATGGATCGTAAAGGAGGTAATCTTAGTAGTAATTTTGTGAAACGGGAAGTATCTTGGGGTTGATTAGTCGTACAATACGAATGAAGAGCTGAATAAAGCTGCTCCCTGACAGCTTCTACGCGATGACGTGATGATAAGCCATTAGCATCTAAGAGAATAATGCGAGAAAACCAAGATATTAATTTACAGTCTTGATAAGATCTGAAATTTTCGATTTTCAACAACAGATATGTTTAAAAAATTGGATGACGTGGAAGCTCACGCTAAAGCATTAAAAAGTAGGTGGCAATGAAAAAATCTAAAATTCCATCGATGGGTACCAACAATCCTTTCGCTTTTAAAGTTACAAAAAGTAGCTGTCGTCATGAAAAATTCAAAGGGTGAATCTCGACAACCAGACGATAAGCAAGGTTACAACACACACGATCAGTTCTTAGGAGTGTTTCAAAAACAACATACCCACGATTTAGATCTAACGACCAATTTAGCTCACTGAAAACCGGAACATAAAATTAGGGATCAAATAATACGAAATGAGAAATTACTAAATCCATTCAACGCACGTTTTGGGAACTGCTAAAGATGAGATTATGGAAAATGATATTCTTGATAATGGTAAAAGACTCATAAAGTTTATTTGTTACAATGCTATTACATAAATAATCGATACCAACACATTAATATAATTTAGCACATCTTAATTATTGAAGGGAATGCAACCCGCAAGTAATTGAAGAAAAAAAGTATGAAACCCTTTCACTCGTAAAACAAACGCGAAATAATTTTTTTATTATCAAAAGTCTGTTATGCTTAAAATGATTGAGTATTTGTTTAAAAAATTATCTTTGATAATAAACACTGGGAACTTGATAAAATAATTTAAGTTTTATAACACTCATCTATGCCTATTGATAAATCTTTTGTTAGTGTTGGGGATGTCAAATCCCCAGAACTCACTTGGTAAATGGCTTAATCTTGTAGTTTTATTTTGAAAATTTGAATTTAGCTGTTTTCGCGCCAAAAGCGCTCTTTTTACCTTCACGTCATATTTCCCACCTGTAAACTATCTTAAACGCTATTGGTCCATTGTTTCTTTGTGTGTGCTATTTACCAATGATGCTCAAGGACAAATTGTTGTTGTATAAATGCGCTTGAATTTTTCCATTATTCGATTGCTTGTACTCGGCTGCTTACGGAATACATATATATTCCCCTACTTGCCTTGGACTTCTTCATCTAGTTAGCGGGGCCTGGGACAACAGATTAGAGTAGCTTATCGTGTCATTGGCTTTCGTTCGTTACCGCGGAATCGATTTAGCTTCAGGCATAACAGTTAGCTTAGGTTTGTATGTAACAATAAAAGGTCTGACTGTGCTCCTTGTGAAATAACCTTAAAAACTTTTTGACATTACTAACAGTGTGGATAGTTACATGTACTGTTTGAAGAAAATTGGCGTTCATGTGCAAGGTATTTCATTCTTCTGAAGGAGAGTGACTTCATTATTACCCATTTATATGACTTACCTTGAGAGAGCTTGTTATAAAGTTGAATGTTGAGGTTTTTATCTATTTAACATCAGCATATCAAAAGTCAAATGTATTTGGCCACATTATCATATCACCACTCACTAATTAAGAAGACAATTAATAATTAATCGTATCGAAATGACAAACATTATTTCAACGTCAGTAGTTGGGGGTTATTAGTTATAATCGTATGACACTAGAGCTAATGTCAAACTTGATTTACAATACGACTATCAAAGGCCTTGATTAGTATAGCATTAAACCAATGATAAATAGTATATAAAATCCTAAATTGAAAATTTCCAGTTACAATACAGATAAATTTGCTTGCATTCATCATTTTCGTCTTCATTTCTAATGATTCACATGCCATTTCCAAAATCAACTAGTCTAGACTGATATTCGCTCTCATGTATTGTATTTATGCATACACAATGAAGTGTTTATCAAAATATTACACTAATCTATTACATCAAAATGGAGAAAAAAATATGTATACAAAAGAATCAACGACAGACTCATGAGTGAAGAGGACATATTATTGTTGTGTATATCACACTAAATAATTGATTTGTGCTAACTGAACTGACAGCCTCAGAAAATGAATGGGTATAAAATACATAGATGTGTGAATGAAACAAAATATTCAAATATTTTCACAGCTTACTTAGACACAAGTGTACATAAATGGGGTTTGAATTAGTGAAAAATACGTATGTTTACAACAACGACGATCATAAATGTAGATCGTTCGAGCAAGTTTCTGGAATGGACATTGATAGGTAAACACAAAGTGACCTGATGATTCCAAGTAAATAAATATAACAAACTGGTGTTTCTTTAGTTCAATAATTTTACATGAATTTCCTAACACGGTAAAGAATTCAACTAATTGATGAAAATAATACGGTAGCTTTATTGGAAAGTGAAAAGGAGTGGACAGTCATGGTCTTCGGGTAAAAACTGTTCTTATGGCTCTCGGGAGAATACATGATCTGATATATTTTTGATGAGATATGGACACAGATCACGATCAAGGACAAGTTAAGGACCATCGAAGGAAACAATTCCCGAAGAAATTCACCAAATATGAATGAAGACGACAAGCCCTCACATGGAATCCTGAAGGTCAAAAGAAAAGAAGACCAAAAAACACAGTACGCCGAGAAACGGAGACACACATGAGAAGACTGAAAAAAAGTTGGATAAAACTAGAAAGGAAGGCCCAGGACAGAGTAGATTGGAGAATGCTGGTCGGCGGCCTATGCTCCATTAAGAGTAACAGGCGTCAGTAAGTAAGTAAATGAAGATACAGCAACAACGATAGCTACACATAATTTGACTTTAAGTATTTCAAAATCTACAAGCGTTTTTGGAAAAAATTACATGTTCCAAGACAATTATTAATAGGAGAATAATGGACATAAAACCAAGTCATCCATTCATCTGAAATATAATCGTACACTCAAACACAATAGCCGTAATTTGATCTTTTTAATTTACTATTTAGTACGGTGGAAACGATTACTAGTAAACTACTGTTAAAAAAACTGACTGGATAACTCACCAGGATTAAAAAGAATAATAGCACGTAGTAAAGCTAATTCAGTTCTTTGTAACGATAAATCACGAAAACGTGCAACAAGTTCATGAAGAATTCTATCAACAAGAGGACCTAGACCATGTGATTTAGCCACTTCCCTACCAAGATGACGTCCAATCGATAAAAGCAAACCGTCTCTAATAACAGTTGAATGATACGCTGAGCTGATTAAAACTAATTCAGGCCAAGCTTTAAGAAAAAAAAAAAGAACAAATAAGAAACGAAAATAATCAATTATAATTCGATAAACATAAAAATAAAACATTATGATAGGTTTATATATTTAGTTTATTCATATAACAAAATTTTATAATTTGTTCAGTGAGACATATTGAGAATGACTAAAGGGTTTTTGATTAATTATATTTCAAATAAGTTAATATCTTAGACATATCACATTAACCCAAGTACAATAATTGTATTAATAAATACAAGCACATATTAACAAGCAGAAAAAAAAATAGGGAATAAAAGGAAATTAAAAACTAGTTAGTTATTAATAGAAGGAGGGGGTTTGTTTATGAAATAAACAATCTTGAAATAATTCTGTGCAAAATTTGATAATATTAGATTATTACTCTAATTATTTATCATGAATTTTAAAGAAATGTAATTTATATATCTGAGTACAAATTTATGAACTAGTGGTAAATTACTCCACTGATTAAACCTATAGATATTAAAAAAGACTAGGAAACTAAAACTATGTTGAAAGTCAAATAAATTTACTAATAAGCTACTCTTGAATTAATCACTATAATCAATGCATAATTATGAGTTTTATTAAATAAAATAGTACTCACCAGCTTTTATTAAACAGAATTGATCATCAAAACTAAGATAGACAGATGAAAACACTGGCAACTGACGAGCCCAATTAACTATTCGAGGTAATTGTTGTTCAATAGACTGACAGATTATGGTCAATGGATGTAAACCAGTATCATCATCACCAGGTATATCTTCATAAATTGCTTCACCTCTTTCTGATACAGCCAATTTAGGATCCATGCTTAATTCAGCCGACAGTAAACATCGTAATGTTAAATTAGGTAGATCTGTTTCGTCGGATATTAGTACATTATTAGATTGAATACAGGTAGTTGAACTTTCTGATTTAACTTGATTAGGTTGTACACAGTCAGTAGTGGTAGGAGTTATAGAAATATTAGGTGTTGAATCTTGTTTAATGTTCGGAGGTTGATCAGTAACAATTGACTCAGCAGATTTGTTACCAAAAGTTGAACGACGCCCAGGACCTTTCTTCTCACTCTTTGGTGGCTTAGAAATTGAAGGCACTGGATTTGATGTTGGTTGACGATGACGCTCTTCTTGAACAGCTGAAAAATATAATAATACGTATCATTTTTTAAATTTTATGATAGCAACAGGCATCACATAACAATGTATGAAAGTAGAAGGACATAGTACATGTGAAGTGGGGGGATGACTAAGAAAAAATCAATGTAATTTATAACCTAGTACGCAAACCTGGATATAGCTGGTCAGTTTATTTCTCAGACTGCAACCAGCAATTCTGTTTCATGGCTTTTTTTTAAAATTTTCTTGACTAAATTCTGTTTTCAAAATATTCATCAATAATTACGACTAGCTGAGTGCACATTGATCTATTTTTAACATACAGTTATCATTAAAATTTCACCGTCGATATTCTCCAGAAATTGACTGGTGATTTTCCGCCTAACAGAAACGATAAACAATTTCAATAAGGATAGTTTTTAGGAATTTATGACTTTTTAGTATGATATGGGTTAACTTGTAGCCTTAGTACCCTCATGAGAAGCACAAGAAATATAAGATTATGAGTTTAGTGATCATATAAGGAAGTTCATTAGAGCTTATTTATCTATCTGTAAGAAATTATCACGGGTTTGTATAAATTCCTACGGTAGTTCTAATAGATTTTCTGTTTAGCTAACTATATTTATACGTTTGGTACAACTTTCTACTGGTCAAACTAGGGAAGTAGAATCAAGCATGAGGACGAAAAATTCATTAAACATTCAATTTATATAAATAATTCCCTTTTAGTAAAATAGATGATATTCAGTTAATTAATATAGTTTACCATATTTATAAATAGAAAATTTGACTGATCTGTAGGTTACAGAAACGTTCTCACTAAAGTTCCGTTGGATGACCAAAGACCTAATAGACTGGTTTTTTTGAATTTGAACAAATTTGCAATTAGTAGCAATATGATTATTTCTCCCTCAAAATCCGCTTATTTTACCCCACCCCCAAATTTTAAGATCTAAACTAATTATTTTCAATAACAGCTTAATTAATAGTCTTCAATATCGAAGAAAGATTGCTTACAAAGTGGTTAAATTTAGTTACAGAAAACGCTAAATCCTTTACATCCTGACTTACCTTCCTTCTTCATTCCCTTTGCTAAGCACTGCTCGAAACGGCAATGCTGACAACGTGTGCGCTTCCGTCTATCTACAGGACATTGACCTGATTCCCGACAAACATATACTAATTGCTTACGCACTGTTCGTTTAAAAAATCCCTTACATCCTTCACATGAAATCACACCATAATGTTTACCACTGGCTTTATCACCACAAATCACACAAATTGGATTCAAATTAGTCGTATTTACAGAAGTAGCTGATGAAGACTGACTAGCCAGTTCGGAAGGAATTTGTGTAGGAAAACATTCTTTACTCTCGGGTTTTGTTTTGTTAGGATCGACAAACAACAAAATTGGTCTAAAATAAAACAATATACATTGATCAAAACATCATTTATGGGAATCGGTCATTTGAAAACAATCTAAGTAATGCCACAGTACTCATGAATACCGGAAGTTTATTGAACAAGTTTTTTAATATGATTAATATCCTGAATCATCTTACTTTGAAATGTCTAGTGTTAAAATGCTTTTGCCATGAATTTCGCAGTTACTGAAAGATACCAGTGAGATGTGTTCACAACAACTAGGGAACTGATTTTACTATATTCAACTTGAGCCCGTAACCTTCAGAGCAGTAACCAGTGATACAATTGTTGAGAAGTTTCGAAAACAAGAAAATGAAGGGATAACTAATTAGACCTCGAGTTTCATATGGTGCAAACTTGCTTAAAGAAGCTTTAGATACAGCATGATAATAAATGTTAGTACAAGAGAGAAAGACTTAAGATTGTTTCCAATGTATCATTATCTTACCTCTGGAAACATATCAGAAGTAAATTGAACCATTGTTCACTTATTGTTACATAATAAACATTATAATCATTTAAATAAGATGACATAACAAAGTTAATTTTGCTTTGTTTGCTGGACAATAAGTTCATAAGTTAAATATGATGACGTCATTTCAATAAATATTATTACATCAATTCATCTTTAAAGCAAGACTTCAAACAAAACACAAAATTGACTATAGTTTTAGGACTTATGGTTTCAGAAACTTGATTAATCTGAAGTGAAATCAAATTGATAACAGTCTAATGATGGTCTATCATTTATTCATCTATGACATCAATTGAAACTCAGCAATCTCTATAACCCAATACACATAATTAGCATGTGCTCTCTAGTGACTGGCTTCAAGATGAGTTTTCTGGAGTTCTAGTAAGAAGCCAAAGATGGCAAAAGCCAAACGAGCTTTTTGAATCCGTGCTGAGATTTCGTCAGACACCAACCCATTAGGGCTAGTCATACTTCCAAGTTAAGTGAGGTTGTCGACGCATTCAACCACTTCACTCTCAATCCTTAGTTCAGGTGTTGACGCCGGTCAGTTCTGAAGCACCAACTTGCATTTACAGGGAGAGGAACGCATCCCAAACATCCTGACATTGTTGCGCAGTACTATCAAAAGACTGCATTTTATCAGCAACTTTACCAAACAGGACTGTCATCTGCGTATTCTAAGTCGGTGATTGGACCTCCTGGTAGGAGATCGATTCCTGAAAATTCAGTCGATGAGAACGTTATTTCCAGCTCTAGGCCTATGATGGAATCGAACAAAAATAGAGATAGTGGACAACTCTGTCGGACACCACTTGAGGATGCGAAATCAGATGACAGTTCACCATAAGCTCTCACTCGACTGGTAGTGTTCGAGTAAAGAGCCTTCACAAGGTTTATGTACTTCTGTGGTACACCTTTTGATGACAGACACTGCTACAGAACCTCTCGGTCAAGAAAAACTATCATTGTCTGACGCCGACAAACATGTCTGTGTTCTAAAACCTGACGAATAGTGAATATGTGGTCGATACAGCCACGACTAGGTCTGAAACCAGCCAGATTTTCTTGTGTTGGCATTTCACGAGTCTTTGTTAAGCGTCCGAGAATGATTGAGGCTAGTATTTTAGATGCTATATTAGTCAAACTAATCCCTCTATGGTTATTACAGGATGATTTTGACCCCTTCTTATATGTTGGGAAAATCAATGATTGTGACCAGTCAGATAGGATTACGTCCAACTCCCAGATTTTAGCTACAATATTAGTCGAGAAGCTTACTTCAATGTTCCATTCATACTGTTTGGGAATGGTGGGCAACTATAGAGTAGCTGAAAGCCAGCTGAACTGCTCTTTAAAGTGTTCCACCCATCGTTCTACTACTATGTTAAAGTCGTTTTAGAAGTATTAGCTTCCAAGTGGGAAGAAGTTAACGGTGAAAATCTCATAGAAAATGGCTGATCATTTATTCATTTGAGTTTCTTTTGTTGATCATATATCACGGGATATAACCGAATAAGTGTATAAATCAGTAAATTATCACATTTTCGTTGAAAATAGAAGTGAATTTGAAGAATACTTGTAACAAACAAACTTTACTTTCACTTAGGTTATCGAAATTTAAGTTTGTAGATTATTCAAATGCTTTGTCAATGCTTTCAATTTTCTGAAGAATAGTGTAATAAATTTTTTAAAAATAATAATTGATTGAATATGGAATATCCAGAGAAAATGACTCGAAATTTTTAGGGATAGAACGTATATTGTCTAACAACAAAATCTATTTATACTTTAATAGCTAAAAGGTTTTATGTTCCCTTTTTTGATAGGATTGTGTTATAATGCTTTATGTAAGATGAATTTATACTTCATTTTGATAAATTTCAAATAACAATGACATGTAGTCGACTTTGATAAAAAAAGGTAATAGATAAAGGCTGAGGTTATTTGCTACAACTGAATTTTTAACTCTTCTCTTGATTCGATGTATAAAAAACAACATCATTTAAACATATACTTAGTAAAACTGCAGGTAGCACGTTGTTCCAATGACTAGCACGTTGGTAAGTAGATTGACCTAATGAGTTGCTATAACCCTTGAAACTGGTCGTGACAATACTTTTTTTGCAAACTATGTTAGTGTTTGTAGGTCAAATAGGTGTATAGATAACAAACAATACTAATTAGGTTGAATGTAAAACTGGACCGCCTGATATATAATAAAAGATGAAACTATACACTACTGATTCAACTTATCAAAAACACAAAAGTAACATAATTAAATTGATCTATATCTATGGGGAGCGAGACAGAGAATGTGTATGTCACTATAGGGTTGTAGAGATTGTTGAATTCCATTGAAATCATAAACCAATGTTAGACCCGTATTGAAGACCTGAAAGTATTGGAAGGCCAGTTCGTGCTGGTATGAGAAACTTCAGGAGTGTGCATCCATGATCGAAACTCAATATCTTGAGGATGATAAAGAGTGAACGCATCTGCACCGTTTTGAACAACTCTGAGCCATACTAAACAAAGTCTCCAAAAATTGGTTGCGTTAATCACGTGGACCCTAACTAGTCAGTCCGAATCCACCAACATGGCTTAGACCAACAGTCAATGACTTCGTAGACTGGTGCTATATCTTGGTCTTCTATAGAAGCATTTTCTAACGAGATAAGCAGTGGTTACGTATAAATAACACACATTTTAACCACCTCAGTTGGTCAAGATTCACCACCTTATCAACCAATTTTCCACCCTGTGCACAATCTGAACACTGTCAACTCAGTCGTCCCAGTGAACCCCAGAAATCCTTTGAAGACAATCATGACAAAAGTCGTCATTTATTTTCATAAACCATGTTTTACAGCAATAAAGTAATACGGAGCGGATTGCTGCACAGTAGACATCACCTTAGATTAGCAGACGAGCATATTTTCCAAACAACAAGTGACGCAAGTTACCAAAGATCAATCAAGCTTATAAACCCAAGTAGACTTTTTCATCAGATGCCAGCATACCAGGGCTGATGAGACTCCTACTGTGAGTGAAAAAGTTAACTCATTCAGCTACTTTACTGTCTATGATCAATCTGGAAGCTGATGCAGACCAGTGATGAAGCAACAATTCGCATTTAGTAAGAGAGAAAAACATCCCGTACATCCTAGAACTGTCGCTCAGGGCGATAAGAAGAATTTGAATTCTGTTTGCGTTTTCACCTAACAGAACCATGTCGTCCATGTATTTCAAGTCAATAAATATATTTCCTGGTAGAAGATTAAATCCCGAAAATGTAGACGAAGAGAGTACGATTTCTAGGAGGACATCTATGAAGAAAGCAAATAAGGGGAATAGTCAGCTTAGCTGCTAAAACTGGGCCACCCCCTACTGATCTGGAGTATTAATCTGTTAAGACCCAATGCTTTCGTTCGGTTTAGATCACCTACAGCCTTCTCAACCTCATTAAGAGTTGGAGAACTTGTATCACACTGACAGGCGATAGAAGGCAACTGAAAAGAAGCTGGAGGCCAATTAAACAATTCTCTAAACTGTTATGTTCATTGCGCTATTCTTCTAAACTGAGAGTAAATAAAGGTCCCGTAATTTTCCGAGACTGATTGAAAGCTGACTTTTAAATACCTGTTTTCTTCATCTTCGTGCTAACGAGGTATGGCAACTTGGACCGATGCATAAATATGCCTGGTCCTACGTTGTAGCTGACTGACTGCCTTTTACATCTATTTTGCGCATATTGCTCACTACTGCTGTGTCAACTTTTCGTTGGTTTACACTTGAGGTGTCGATAATATTCATCATCGTCCGAGCCTGTTGTGATAATTTTTTCGAGAATCTGTCAGTGCAACAGATACCAACGAAATTTACGGATATTTCCTAATCCGTTGATCTGAGTTGTTGGTAGGTTTTATTGATGTAGTTACAACTGTTTGAATATCATCCTAAACTTCTTCATGAAGAACTGTCTTTCCACAATTGATTAGATGTTCAGCTAATTCTTCCCTGGCTGCATCATTGACCATTTTACCTTCGAAAAGATATATCAGGATTCTTTCCGTCGTGGCTTTTCTCCATCCCGTAAAAAACATAATTGCGTACCCTCACTAGGATATAACCAGAGTCTAGAGACGGGCTCCAAAATGAGCGACAGTTTTCTAATAAGCTTCTCCAACGGTGGCTAACGGCAATATAGTTTTTGCACATTACTATGGTGTTGGGGATCGCCAGCTTAGACAATATATCTACTTATGCCTGAAGTTTCTACTTTCCAGGAATAAGTAATTGTCTAAAGCCAAATGTAAGAGACAGCCATCGCTATTTGATTGCTAAGCTGGGACGCCAAAAGGCGACCTAATTATTTTTCAGTTTGACTTAGTCTACCACCAAATGAGGCACTAAATTCAACTGATACGATTATTACACCCGAAACCCTGACTTTGAGAGAGGTTGGAAAGCTTCCCGTAAAACGCGTCTTTTATTCCACCAGAGATACAACCAGTGAGGGCATAGAAATAAACGATGAAGAGACAATGGCTCATGTTTCCGAGTTTTTACTGCACTGTTTAGACGGACAAAAAGTAGGCAACTGTCGATAGGAATCTAGTCAAGTCCCTATTCTGCTTTCAAACTTAGTGCTAGACATACACCGCCACGGCTAAAAGGGATTGCTATCGCGTCTACAAATAACATGAAGGGTATTTTGCGTTGGTCCCCCATAGTGGCCAGATGAGTGAATGACTACGCTAGGAAAGGCTACGTGCACTTCGGAGACAGAATACATCGATAACACGAAACTCTAGAGTTATAACTAACGAGGCTTGTTGTTCAATATGACATAAGATTTGAATATTCAAAGCTGCAACATGTAGTTTAGGGCGCGAGTTTTGGAGGACAGGAACAGCATTTTGTACACTCGGATTGTTGGCACTGATGGTGAGTATGGAATAAAAATAAAGTCATAGAAGAATGGTTGATAATGTGACTGGAAGATAGATTAAGACGTGAAGAATGGATTTGATCGCGAACAAGGTGGTCTTTAGTTGTTTTAGAGGAATGAGGACAGTTATACCTCCCTGATTTCCCACAGTATGGACGGATATTTCTTTTTGAAAAAGAAATAGGGTTGGCAGTGGTCTTAGCTTCATAGAAATGTGACTGCACTACCGAAGGGACAACTTCTTGAGGTTGAGTAGTTTTAAATGTGATTTAAAGGCCTTGGAGTCAGGGATGGGAATCTGTAGGGCAAAGTGGAATGTCACTTTCAAGGTCTAACCTCTTTACTCTCTATCTTCCGTCGTGAAAAAGCAGCATAGCTGTAGATCCTGTTACATTCTTGTACAGTCAGCAGTACGACTTCACACTCGAACTGTAGGTAGCTGATTTTAGTGTTACCGTTCTCCGACCGGCCTGTCTGGCATGAAAGGACTTGAAGAAACGAATGTTTCACATAACATAGCTCATATAGTCATCACGAGAGACAGGTATGAATTGCCACCTCAAGGTAGCAGTTACGATCAGACATCAACTTGGTATTCATATCAACACAATATTGGGATTGAGTGCATTCAATCAAATATTCCACTTATATGAAAAACGAAAGAGCATAGAAAATTAAATGCTATCGCTGTGAAATTTGTGTTTTGTACCATTACGATTAATTGTATAATGAAAATGTTTTAAATGTGAAGCGGTAGCTTATTGCATAACAATCAGTTTCCAACCGATAAAGGCTTAAAAACGTACTTGGTATACAAATCGTGTTGCTAAATGTTCCATATGACAATATTATATGATAAGAAAAAAACCCACACATAGAAACAAAAAGCTCTAGAAGTAAAAAACAACTTACGACTGAGAAACAGTAAGAGAATTAGTCTCAACTTTTGTAACTTGAGGTAAATAAGATGTGGAGGTCTCGTTTGAATTCCCAGAAGCAAGCAGACGAGTGAATGGTTCTGATACTACATTATCAGGGTACACAGAGTGTTGGTGAGCATCGGGAGGTAACATATGAGGAAATTTTTGAGGCGTGTTATAAACAAGTTCCTGAAGATGAGTACTGTTAATGGAATTAGCTATGGAACAAAGATTAGGGTTAGTATCCGAAGAAACCGTATGAATATCAGTATGATTGTGCAGATCTGTTAAGAAGGATTGGCTAATTACTTGAGGATTATCATTATACATGAAAGAGGGTTTTATATCGACACCTAAATCGGCGTTACTTGTGTCGCAAGAACTGGATTTTAGTGATGTTTGAGATTTGCATGAGGAATTCGCTATGGTTTGGATTGCTAAAAGGAAAAACAAAAATAGGAAAGAATGACATAACGCACAAGATATTTAAATCTCAGAATAAGACTTTCTGAAATTGAGTTGTAAGGCGGAACGAACAGGCTAATAAGCAACACGACTTAAAACTATGGAATATCGACCAAGTTACTATAAATAATGGTCTGAAGATATTTGCTTTAGTCGGCTAATCAGTCACAACGTAGAACCTTGTGCGTATGTACATCGGTCCAAGTTGTTATAACTCATTAACACAAAGATGTTGAGAAAGTAACGGTATCAGTGGTAGTAGGAAAGATTAGGCATCGAAGATGTAATTCGAAAAGGAAAGATAAATTAGTGAAATAAAAACGAAAAAGTTATAAGGAGTTTAGAAGCTCACAATTTGGGAAAGACGGAGAATGGATGCACCTGTACCATTGCAAACGATTTTGAACCATTTCATTCAACTAAATAACCCTTTTTGCGTATCTTTATCACTACGCGCCACCAATGCTAATGATTTGAATCCATAAAATGTTATTCCTGGTCTCCTGAAACTACGCTCTAAACTACATGTTGGAGCTTTCAATGTTCGAACCTTTTACCAACTAGGACAACATGCTTCTTTAGCTAGGACTCTAAGATTTCGCGCCATCGATGTATGCTGAGTCTTCGAAACGCGCACACAGGATTAAAGTACAGTCATTCATTTGACATTTACTTTAAGTCGTGATAAATTTTACAGTGCTCAACGAAATGTGATAACCCGTAATATAACACCAATTAATCACCTAAATAAAAACAATAATTTAAAGGCTAATGTGACACTTAAATAGTCGAAGCGTTAAATCCAATCTCCATAGGTAATGCTTTTGTATAACAGTCTTCGCAAAACAGAACGAGGCAACTATTCAGTAGTTTTTATTTTTAATTGATCACAGTGAGCATCAACGGTTCAAATAACAATCCAAATCTTCAACGTTCATCAAGTCCTAATAAAACTTGAGTGACCCTTAAAGTAATATCAAAAGAATATTTATGTAGCTAGTATTTATTAGGTTGTACGAATCCAGAAATACGGCAAGAAAGTCATGTATAATCGAATGGAAATACATTAGATCCATCAATAATTGACCAAAATCTGGATACCCGCAATAACTAAAAACAGAACTTACGATTATCAGAAAGAACTGTACTATCAAGCATATCATATATTTGCTGACTAGGTGAATGAGACCTATTAGACTGTACACATGTAAGCATATCTTGATCTGGTTTAAGAATATCATTTTCCAGTTGGTTTATTGGAGGGATTAGATATGAATGTGTATACAAAACGGATTCGTCTGAGACTCCATGATTCATATGAATTGCATCATGATTTGCGAAGATAGACATAATCATCCAACAAACTGATCTCTAAATTGTGTGGTTATTTTGCTTATATAGACAGGACAGAGAGCATTTCATATCTCATTTACAGAAACATGCCTAAAAACGAATGTAAAACAGAGATTAAATCACGAAAGTAATGTATTAAGTAACGCCTAGTATCTTCTACAAAATAGGGAATCAGCGCATTGTAGGTCAGATGGTACAATCTTTATTTTATCTAAAATATAAATGCTGGTACGACCAGGCACCAATACAATTAAGTCGCAAATTTGTGACAAGGAGGGTGAGTAAAATGAAAAACAAATGGATAAAAACAAGTCCATATCTCAAGCTACTGAGTTATATCATTTTTAGAACCACAACCCAGGAGTCGTGTTCCACAAACAGATGCGAGTTTTATACAACTTCCTTTTAAACCATGGTGCCATGTCATGAACTGACCAACGCTCTGCATTTTTCATCTAGTCACATTGTCGGTAAATAAAACAAAATGTGGAATTTACTGAGATAACGTTTGTAAAACATGTCTAACATAAAGAAACTAGTGTTTCAAGATGAGGACGCCAACTGAGTATTTGGCACTCCTCATGGACTCAAATTGCTTAACATCAACATTAACTGGTGTTGATAATGTATATCAGGAATCGTTCGGAGACAATTATGATTGAATAGAGAGTAAATGGACATTCCGAATTCAATGGGGCTGTGTTTTGTATGCATAGAGCAGCCCACTCTCACCGACATGTTGTTGACCCGACCATACTAACATCGCGACGATGACAAACATGGCCCAGATTAGCCCAAGACACCCTGGCTTTAATCATATGTTCGTAAATTTCGTCAATCACACTACCAATAGCACTCACAGAACTACCAAGTTACACTAGCTTTCTGACTACTTTTAACGGTTCATTAAAGGATGAGCCCCGGCACAAGCTTTTCCCAGTTTCGTGAAAGTACTTTGTATCTAGATGTAAAGTACACATCATACCTACGGATGCTGATTGTTAACTAATTAAGTGCGATTTTCGTGGCCTGAAATATCATCGCACAATAAAACGAAATCATCCACATACCGACGACCGAAAATTTTATGAAAATAAGATATTCATATCGCCATCGCCACCACCTCTATTACGTACTTCCTTCTGAAGCGTTTCCATAATGCGACTGATGACAAAGTTGGGGAAAAACAGTGAGGTTGAGCAACTCTGCTTAACCAGAAACTAATTTCTGTTCCTTTAGATAGTATATTTCAACCGAACAACTTGTACTTTTTGTTGTAATACGGTTTCTCTAGAAATACATAGTCTAGCATTTGAATGTTTAAAGGAGTACATGAAAATAATGTTATGCGTTGCAACAATAATACTTTGTTATGAGTGATGACGTATAAGATCAAAAGAATATTTAAGATCCGATTATATTTCTTATTGTTACATGGATTTGTGCTGATACAATATAAACTATGTAGTCCCAAATAGATTATGTGATCTACTGAGAAATAAAAAGCCTAAAATTGTGAATCTATCGTATAGACGGATCAGAAGCCTAGAGACTAAGCAAATGATTCAGAGAATAATTATGTCCTGATTTGTATTTCATCATGTTCGTTTACGCACTTGCTAGAGAAATGGGTTGGGAATTAGACAAATCTTCCATACTGAAAAAATTTATTTTGTAGGATTAAATCATCAACTATTCCAAATTACTCATATTTACAGCACTTTCCTCTAACGTTGAGATTATGTGGATGAAAGATGACTTTTGACACCAAATGACTCGTACTAATGTAGAGAATTATGTGAGGTGTAATTAAACCAGAATATACTATTTTCAAATGATGGGTGATAAATTATCCCTTATTTTTGTGAAAAACTAGCGAAACCTTCGGCGTTTTGAGCGCTAAGTTTGATAATTGTGAGCCCTTCGAGTTTGACGTGTTCTCGTTGATTTCTCACCAATAACTGGAAATATTCACCTTTCCAATACCACATTGGAATATTTAAGCGCTTCTAAGTATACGCACTGAGTCTTCGTCTTGCTGGTAGACAATCATAACAACAAAATTGACTATAATAATACCAAGATTGAACCACTAAGCGACAGGTCTAGATATTTCGATCAACTGCCCTCTTCCTAGTCGCTTCAACTGCGACAAAAACACATCCATTTTTTGCAAACAGAACTTGTGGATAAGTTACTGGATCCATGAGTAGTTGCTTACTAAAACGGTCAAAAGTAACATTGCGATTTTACGTGTCTCTCAGGTTTTATTCTTTGGTAGAATACATTCACATATTTCTATTATTTTCCTCGTTCTAGACTTTCGTTTCACATACTTCCTCTTCCAGTTGTCCCAAATTTTACATTTTAATCTATTAAATAGCATGCATAGTGAAGGTTTTCACTACTGCTCATATTATAACTACAATGACGACTAGTAGAGGAAGTTTTAATTTATACGTTATTTATAAGCCAAAAATCCTCTTTCCTGGCAACAAGATCATAAGAAAGCTCAAGAAGACACCAGAAAATGTCTTCAGGTAATGTGTACAATATGGACCACTCAACATAAACGACGAAACTGGACTTCTCACTAAGTAGTCAGGATCACACTTCTACCTTGATCCCTACTCCTAGTAAGACTATCAAGCAAAACAGAAATAGAGAAAAAGGGCGTCCTAAATTGCTAGCATTGCCAACTACTACTGAAGAGAAACAGCACAAAAACAATAATTGTACCGCGAACCCGTAGCCCGTTAAAACCAGTGACTTGACATTTGAATGTAATTTCTGAAGTGGTCGGGTTCACTTTTACTATGATACAGCAGTACCTAGGCAATACTGTGGGTTTGTGCTAAGTCACCCATGTCCATAGTCCTGATACACTTGCTCACAATGTAGAGAAAGAACACCAACAGAACTAATAAAAAGAGGGAGGGACAAAGATGCTAGACAAAAGTTCCTGATTATGTTTGGTATCCCAGTGTCAGAGAGTAGCTTATTCGACAGTAGGGCGACCTGTAACAAAGAACAGTGGGATAAATAATGCACAATGATGGGAAAGAGTACCAATTTAGCTAAGCTATGCTGCCTGTATCATGGCCAACACGTAGAAAATGGTAAGTCCCCGCCACTGATGGTAACTTTAGATCCAGCACACGTTACAGAAAAATGTCTACTGTTATTCCAGTGACCATTGGTTGAGTGATCTTTTCGAATCAGAGTTAGACATGAGAAACTGTGGGCCGTAAGAGATGTAGCCGAATCACTAAACACCTAAGAATCACCCAGAATGATGGTCCACGGAGCCTCTGAGCTAGTAAGTGGTAGTCGGGATGAAGCTCACAAGCACGATGTGCAACAGTGGCGTTGGCTACCACGCGGCACGAACCTTCACAGCACTACGATAATTAGCGTCTCCAGGCTGCCTCGTCAGTAACACCTCACGAACATTAAGTCTCTGCGTCTCATGGTTGTGAATTCCAGAAACCAAGGGGACTTAACTGAAGCCCTTCAGACTTGGTACAGCTCAAGAAGTGACCTCTCCAGTCACTTCAGATGTTGTGAAACTAGACCTAGATCGATAATATAACAACAGAAAAGCCCAATCAAACACCGTAGTGTCAGTCAACCTTGATAAACAACCCACGGTACATGACACAAAGGCAACGGTCTTGCTAATGGAACATGCTTTACAGGCAAAAAAGCCTACAGTAACCAGTTCGCATGGAACTCGCCAACACACTTGGAACAACAATTCGTTTAAAAACCAGAAGATAGATGCTGTTGTGGAGCACCAGGTGATAAGGCAAACCAAGAGCCCCCATAGTAACGTAAGAGGACTAAGGGGTAAACTAAGTCAAATCAGAGACATTTGCTTTCAGTTATGACTGAAGATCATAGTCCTCACTAAAACATGGCTATAATGCTACATCACTGATGAAGAAGTGAGCTTGCAAGACATGATACTTTTCCGATACGATTACTTTACTTACTTACTTTCGCCTGTTACTCCCAAAGGAGCATAGGCCGCCGACCAGCATTCTCCAACCCACTCTGTCATGGGCCTTCTTTTCTAGTTCTATCCAGTTCTTGTTCATTCTTCTCATGTCTGTCTCTATTTCTCGGCGTAATGTGTTATTTGGTCTTCCTCTTCTCCTTTGACCTTCAGGATTCCATGTGAGGGCTTGTCTTGTGACGCAATCGGGTGATTTCCTCAAACTGTGCCCAATCCACTTCCAGCGCTTCCTCCTGATTTCTTCCTCTGCTGGAATCTGGTTTGTTGTCTCCCACAGTAACTTATTGCTGATAGTGTCTGGCCATCGGATCCGAAGTATCTTGCGTAGACAGCTGTTGATAAACACTTGTATCTTCTGGATAATGGCTTTCGTAGTTCTCCACGTCTCCGCCCCATACAATAGAACTGTCTTCACATTTGTATTGAAAATTCTAACCTTGGTGTTGGTTGACAATTGTTTTGAGCTCCAGATGTTTTTCAGTTGTAAGTATGCTGCTCTTGCTTTGCCGATCCTCGCCCTCACATCTGCATCTGATCCACCGTGTTCATCAATGATGCTGCCCAGATATCTAAAGGTTTCCACATCCTCCAAAGCTTCTCCGTTAGTGTAATTTGATTGGTGCTGAGTGTTGTATCGGAGTCTTGCTTTTCCCTTTGTTTATATTGAGACCTACTGCTGCTGAGGCCGCTGCTACACTGGTCGTTTTCTCCTGCATTTGTTGTTGCGTTTGTGATAGAAGAGCCAGATCATCCGCGAAGTCTAGATCGTCAAGTTGCATCCTGCCTGTCCACTGTATCCCGTGCTTTCCTCCAGTCGTTGACGTCTTCATGATCCAGTCGATCACCAGGAGAAAGAGAAACGGTGAGAGTAAGCTTTCCGATACGATATGTTACACAAAACAGGTGGAGTGGTAATATACATTAACAGCAACATCAAAGCTGTGACAACACACAGCACTGAAATAACCGAGGTAGTATAATCGTGCTGATGGTGCTTCAATGTGAACGTCACAAAATGCTTGCTTTGAGGAGTGTTCCGGCTGGCAACAGGTACTAAAATCCAAAGTGATGA